CACGCATATACACACACACAACATATATATATATATATGAGTGATTAATATAAGTGATTGATCAGTATCAATAATATGCGTTAATATAAGTTTCTAAAGATATATAATTTTATATTGTCGAAAATTAATAATATAAAATCAGTCAGAAGGAGTTTTGAAGAAAATTCGACAAATTGCAGCATTATCCGCCTATTTATAGGCTGGCTGCTACGCAAGTTTTATTGTATCTCATAATGTGTTCTCCACTTAAGAATACTGTCCCCGGTGCAGGTATGTTGAACTTGAGCATGTCTTTTGCGGAAAAAATCTTCTAATCCGGAAAATCGTAATATCAAGAGATAATCGTATAAGATCAGTGGTTCTCGCAAATGTACACCAGCACAAGAATTTCGCTTGTAATATTGATAATAATTGTTATTCTTTTTTATCTAAGCGAACACTATTAAAACTAATGGGTGAGACAAAGATAATCGTCTGATTTGTTGTTGATCTTCTATTTATGCATAAAGAAGTTCTCGTAAAACTCAATTCCTCATCAAGAGTCGTTAGCAAAATAACATGAATTCTCTTTTCTTCACTTGTAACACAAGTCTGTTATATAACAGCAAAATTTCTTAAAAATAATTGAAAATAATTAAACCTTGAAAAACTAAGTAAATCACTTAATTAAAATAACTAAGTTATACAATAAACGTCAATTTGGTTTTTTTTTTCTATCACCTTCTTTAGCATAAAATGTATTAAAATGTATATGATATCCAAAATGTATATGATGGATTAGTATACTGGCTGCCAGCAAAGTTTTTTTTAGCAAAGAAAACAGCTTTGCAATTGTTGTAAGATTCTTTAATATAATTTCTTCTTGCCCTTAGATCTCCACAATTCTAAATGTATAAACCAATCATAGCGAAGAATTTTATAACAATTATAAAGCTGCTTTTTCTGCTGAACGCAGAAAAGTGTCCTAGTTTACATCGAGCTTGATATGCATACTAACTTTCTATTAAATTATTTTAATTTCGGCAATGCGTTTAAAGAAATGATGTATTATACTGGTACAATATC